TGAGCAAGCAGGAGGATTGCTTAGGCCAAAAAGTTTGAGACCACGCCCTGGGCCAACATAGTGAGACCATGTCTGAAAATAATAGTATTATATGCATATAAATTTTTAAAAGAAAAAAAAAAAGGAGAGAGACAGAGATAGCTCCAAAGGGGAAGAGAAAGGGAGCAAGGGAGAGAGGCCAGAGCAGATTCTCCCTGAGGGCCCTCAGGAGGAACCAGCCCTGCCCACCCGTTGATCTGTGGGACTTCCAGGCCTCTTGAGACGATGATATTTTATTTATTTATGTGAGATGGAGTCTCGCTCTTGTGCCCAGGCTGGAGTGTATGGTGCGACCTCTGCTCCAACTTGCATGCCTCTGCTCGCCGTTTAATGATTCTTCTTGCCTCAGCTCCCTGAGTAGCTGGCATTACAGGTGCGCGCCACCGTAGCACTATCTCCTGACCTCATGATCCGCCCGTCTCGGCCTCCCAAAGTGCTGGGATTACAGGCGTGAGCCGCCGCGCCCGGCCTCCGAAGTGGCTTTCAGCGGGGATCATGAATTAGGTGTCCAGTGCGTAACACAGAGAGACACCGTCTCGTTCTCTGTGTGAGAAGGAGGGGTTGCAGCACACCCGAGTTCAAACCCTGGCTCCACCCAGACCAGCTGCCTGACCCTGGCCAAGTCACATCGCTTGTCTGTGACGCAGTTTACTCCTCATTAAAAAAAAAAAAAAAAAAAGGATAACAACATCACCTGCCTGGTACGACTGTATAGTCACTCATTCGGTAAGTATTTTCTAAGCATCTATTACTGGGCACTGGAAATACAGGGTGGACAGCACAGCCGAGGCCCCGTCCCGGGACATTCCAGTGCAGCTGAGACCCGCTTCCACTCGTGAGAGAATCTACCCGTGACAGAGCTGCATGGAAGCTGACAGGAGGCCCCTCTCAGGAGCTGACGCAAAAGCTGGGACCAGGAAAACGAGGCAGGGCGCACGGGCGGAGACCCAGGGAAGGGGAATGCAGGCAGCAGGCACAGCGCGGGCGACGCCCCAAGGCAGGAGCAGGGAGACTCCACTCACAGCTGGGCACCCAGGAGTGCCCCCGGCTTCTGTTGTTTTGGTTTGCTTTTTTTGCTTTTTTTTTGAGATGAAGTCTCACTCTGCCACCCAGGCTGGAGGGCCGTGGTGTCATCTTGGCTCACGGCAACCTCTACAGCCTGGGTTCCAGTGATTCTCCTGCCTCAGCCTCTTGAGTAGCTGGGATTACAGGCGCCCGCCACCACGCCCAGCTAATTTTTGCATTTTTAGTAGAGACGGGGTTTCACCATCTCAGTCAGGCTGGTCTTGAATTCTGAACCTTGTGATCCACCCACCTCCGCCTCCCAAAGTGCTGGGATTACAGGTGTGAGCCACCGCACCCAGCCTGTTTTTTTTTTTCTTTTTATGACGGAATCTCACTCAGTGGCCCAGGCTGGAGTGCAGTGGCGCGATCTCCGCTCACTGCAACCTCCACTGCCAGGGCTCAAACGATCCTCCCACCTCAGCCTCCCGCACAGCTGAAACCACAGGCACCTGACATCACGAGCAGCCACTTTTTAAATTTTTGGTAGAAATGGGGTTTGGCTGTGTTGCCCAGGCTGATCTTGAATTTCTGAGCTCAAGCAATCCACCCACCTCGGCCTCCCAAAGTGCTGGGATTACAGGCATGGGCCACAGTACCTGGCCTGTTGTCTTGTTTATCTAGGAACTTTGCATGTTGGCTCCAGGCTGGTCCATGGAACTCCTGACCCATTTTCAGGTGATCCGCCCGCCTCGCTCCCACAGTGCTGGATTACCAGACCGTGAAGGCCACTGCCAACACCACGGCATGTAAAGTGGAGCTCTTGACTTGCGCAGCCTGCACTCAGGTGAGACTCCCGTTGTCCAAAAAAAAAAAAAAAGGTTGAGGC